AAAAAAAAAAAAAAAAAAAAAAAAAAAAAAAAAAAAAAAAAGAAAACAAAGGCACAGCACAGTTATGTCACGCCCAACATTCCAGGACTACTTCCAGGGAAAGTGAGAACTAGAACCCACGTCTCCTCTTCACATTAAACAGATAACTGTCCTATCTCAACCTAACAGTTTACTTAAATGATAGTGGCTGTTCTCATCAAAAATTTTACCATATTCAAAGGGTAAAGCCAACAATTAACCTCAGGGTGGAAAGAATAAATACAAACACAATTTATTTTTCTGTTAGGCTTAACAAATATTCAACCTAACAGTCTACAGGCACAGAACCTTCTGAGTTGACTAATTTTACATAAAACCTGCAAAGTCTATAAAGTACATTTATATGTCATTTTTTCCACTAGTTTTTCAACTTCACAGTACATTCAGCATTTCTGTCCCCAACTACAGAAACTATTTTCTTAAATATGGCTCAGGAGAGGAAACTTTCAGTGTGTTCCAGCATGGATTTATAGATGGAGTTCCTCACAGGCAGAGCCCTAAATTACTCATTTCTGTTTCCCCAGTGCCTAGAACAGCTGGAGTAGGGCTACATCACATGCACATTTATCTTAAGTGCTCTGGAGAGAAAGACAGAGACACAGACTGGGGTTTGGAGGAAGTGGGGGATTTAAACAGCGCAGGCAATTCTACACAACCTCCAATTAGTGAGTGTGTGCTCTGGGGTGAGGGTAAAATGGGAGAGGTGAATTTGCTGTTCCTTTAATCAATCTCAGTTCCCATGCCTCTCTCATTTTGCCAGACCGAGGGTGATGCTAGTGTTTAAAGTTATGTATAGTTTATGTTACATGATTCTTATAAACATAAGCTAACTACTTCATCTTGTGATCAACTGGTAGGAGAACTATCAGAGTTGGACTTATATAAAATATTTTGTCTATATACCGTTCACTATGTGTGATGTGCATTTTCAGGGGCTACTTTTGAATAGATTAATCTTACATTCTGTTCACTTGAGAAACAAACCCCTGTGTATACTGGGATCTCACTATAGTTTTCTATAAATGATACTATTAAATGAATATAAATGCAGAATACTGAGTGATATTCCACTTTTCCAACATAATGACATCAATATAAAATTAAAAAAATGCGAATCGAGTGTAATTCTGAAGCTCACACTTTTTGAATAAAAACGTTCATTGTTTTGGGTTTTTTGTTTTGCATTTTACTTTTGTGTGTGTGTGTGAGGAAGATCAGCCCTGAGCTAACATTCATGCCAATCCTCCTCTTTTTGCTGAGGAAGACTGGCCCTGAGCTAACATCTGTGCCCTTCCTTCCTTTTTATGTGGGATGCCGCCACAGCATGGCCTGACAAGCGGTGCGTCCGAACCCGGGCCGCCAGCAGCAGAGCGCGTGCACTTAACCGCTACGCCATGGGGCCAGCCCCTGCATTTTACTTTTAAAAGCAGTGCTACATTTAAATGAACTCTTGGATATCTAAGATATCTTACCTTTCAGGTGTTCTAGCTTTATATTTCTAAGTTTCAGCACTTCATCTGTAATCTTCTGTATCAGGAAGTTCTGTGTTTTTTCTCGCCGAATAGATTCAACCAGGGTATCTAGTCCTTTGGGGTTTTCTTGTAAGTAGTCTAACAGTTTTCCAGCCCTTTTTCTACTTGATGTTCGGCAAGAAATTTCTTCAGTGTCTTCTCTACTGAGTATTTTTTTTGCGCGTAGATGATCAAAATGTCTCTCAGCTATGATTTTTTCACACAAGTAGACACGCAAATTTTCTAAAGCCTAAAAGACATAAAATATGCTTCAATATTATTTTTTTAACACCTAAGGAAATCACATAAGTGACTGATTATTAGTTAGGAAATCCTAACTGGTGGGAGAAAAGATCCTGAAGTCGGGAGGTTCAGGCCTACTATATGTGCTCATTAAGACGAAGGTCCAAGTAGACAGAACTAGGTTCCAGACCAGACATTCCTCAGAGCTTCTGTCCTGCTCTGATCTCATCTTCACATCTATAAACCAAGACCAGGCTATTCTGAGGATGGGCCAGTCAAATCTAGAGGGCCTGAGTCTGTGGAACTAGGGAGGTCTGCTGAGGGTCTTCAGGGGTAAAGATGAGAGCAGAGGCAACGCACATTTTAATTAACATTTACCAAGGAATCCAGGATTGGTCAGGACCAGAGAGGATAACTTAGTGAGAGGTCTCACAGTTTATAACTTTCTCACGTTTGTTATTAATTTTCTATCTTTCTAGAGTAAAACCACTAAAAAAGAAACAAACCTAAACTAAAAGGGTCCATAACGTGTCTACCTTTGGAGTCAGCTGGAAAGACTATAATCTAACTCAGCGAGTCAGTCTTGGTGGAAGCGAGATATAAAGGTGTTGGGGGAAAGAAACCTAAACGAATAGTGAATATTGGAAGAAATTAAAGAAATGAAGAAAACAAAATCACAGAAAACAGGCCTAGACCTGAGAAGTGCCTAACAGGGCTAAACTGGCAGAAAATCGATGTGGGTCCCAGTAAACGGCATTAATAATTTGATGCCAGTGACTGTCTTCTAGCTCTTCCATTTACTACATATGTGATCTTGGGTAAGTAACTTAACTTCTCTGTGCCTCAGTTTCCTCATCTGAGTATTATGAGGAATAAATTAATACACGTAAAGCACTTACAGAAGTGCCTGGTACATAGTAAGTGATCAGCAAATGTTAGTGATGATGACAATGACGACTAATTTCACTCACATTTATAATGATGAGCTAAAGGCAATGGAAGATCTCTAGTACTCTAGTATATGGCAGCAGGAAAGTAGGCTAGGTGAAGGGTTCCTATGGTTCTCAGTCATTTATTTATTCACACAACAATTTCATATACCTAAATACCTAATATGCCAGGTGCTGAGCCAGGATGTGCAAAGATGAACAAGACCTGAACCCTGCACGCAAAGAGCACATAGTCTAGTTGGAGAATACACTTCACATGCAAGCCAATAATTATAAGACAATGTGGTTTGACCCAGAAAAAAAAGATTATAGGTCAGGTACTGGGAAAGCATAGAGTAAGCAAGTAACTCTGCCTCCAGGACCTGGGTAATTTAGAGGCTACACTTGAACTAGAGGCATGAAGGGGTGCAGTGGGGAAAGACTGAGAAGTACTGGGACTTCTCACTGAAATGCAGAGTACATGTGAGAAGGTGGCGAGAAATGAAGTTGGGAAGGCAAACTGGGATGGAATCATGGAAGAATTTTTATAACTTGCTGAGGAACATACATTTCCCTGTAGCCAAAAGGAAAAGTTATCAAAGGTTTATAAATAAGATGCAATAGGAAAACTTCTGCAGAGGACTAAGGGAGGCAAAAATTGGGGTCAAAGGAGAACAATCAGAAGATTGCTGCGATATCTTACATAACATGTACTGAGTGCATGAATTTAAGTTTTGGGGATGGGGAGAGAGAAAAACAGATTTAAAACATGAACTCCTTGAAAAACCTCATCTGTTGTCATTTCTACCACCTACATGCTGATGATTCCCAAATTTGGACATGCGATCAAGACTTTCTCCACCTAGACATCCCAAAGGTACTTCAAATTCAACACGTCCAAATCCAAATTTATCTTTTTTTTAAAAAAATTAAAATATAGTTGACATATCATGTTAGTTTCAGGTGTACAACATAGCAATTTGACATTTATATGTATGGCAAAATGATTACCACAATAAGCCTAGTAACCATCTGTCATCATACAAAGTTATTACAATATTATTGGCTATATTCCCTATGCTGTACATTACATTCCCAAGACATTTATTTTAGGACTGGAAGTTTGTACCTCTTAATCTCCCATGCCTATTTCACCCAACTCTCCACCTCCCTCCCCTCTGGCAACCACCCCTTTGTTCTCTGTATCTCTGACCCTGTTGCTATTTTGTTTTGTTTGTTTTTTAGATTCCACATATAGGCGAAATCAGACAGTTATTTGTCTTTCTCTGACTTATTTCACTTAGCATAATACCCTCTAGGTCCACCCATGTTATCTTCCCCTATCCTTTTCCTCTCATATTCTCAACTCATTTGGGAGTACCACCATCCATCCAACCATGCTATAATCCTGCAACTCATCCCTGACTTTTCTGCTTTCACTCATTTGCCACATCCAATCATCCACCCACCAAGTTCTCCCTGTCTACCCCTTATATTTATCTAATCTGCCCCTTCACTTCATCTCTATTATTAGCATTGCCCTAGTTCAGGTCCCTATCACATCTTGCACAGACTATTAACAATAGACACCTAGCTATACTTCCTCCTTCTCTCCTCTCCAATTTCTCCTTCACACATCTATCAGATCTTTCAATTTTTCAAGAGAAAATGGAAATCTGGAGTGTTATATAAATTCTACTAATATTGAAACGCTGTTAGTTAATTAAAAAAAAAATTTAAAACACTGTGTTCTACCCTGACTTAAAGGATAGAGTTCCTCAACCATGGCAGAATAGTAGAGAAGTTAAGAGCACAGCTCTGAACTCAGACCAACCTCAAATCTTCAAATCCTGCATCTTGAATCTGCCACATACTCCTGAGAGAGCTGGGGCAAGTTATTTAACCTCTCTGATCTTCAAGGTTCCTTATGGATAAAATAATGATCAATGCTTACCTCGCAGGACATCTAGAAGACTAAATGGAACACGGTATATGAATGTGACATAATCTCTGATACACAGTAGGTGCTCAATGAATAGCTATTTGAGGGGCTGGCCCGGTGGCGTAGCGGTTAAGTGCACGTGCTCTGCTGCGGCGGCCCGGGGTTCGGATCCCGGGCACGCACTGATGCACTGCTTGTCAAGCCACACTGTGGCCGTGTCCCATATAAAGTGGAGGAAGATGGGCACGGATGTTAGCTCAGAGCCAATCTCCCTCAGCAAAAAGAAGAGGATTGGCATGGATGTTAGCTCAGGGCTGATCTTCCTCACACACACAAAAAATAAATAAAAAATAAATAAAAAGAAAAAAAATAGCTATTTGATAATGGCAGACAGAGTGCTTCATAATATGGATCCTGCCTGCCTCTCCAGTTTAATCTATCACTTCTATCTGTCCCGGAACGTTACGTTCTACTTAAAACTGCTGTTTGTCACTACATTTCTTTATGTTACCTCTGTACTGTTTTCTTTTCTCATACCGCAAGTCCCTATTCATCCTTTAAAATTCAGGACAGTGGTCACCTCCTTCAGGTAGCTTTACCTAAACTCCCCAAAATGAATTAGTACCCCTCTCCTCTGTCTTTACCGCGCCCCTGTGTATACATTTCACTTTTCTATATACCAGGACTCAACTTCCTAGACATTTCCATTCTGTCCCACTATTCTTCTCAAAGTTACCAATGACCCCCTTATTGCCAAATCTGATACTTTTCAGTCTTCATCTTCTCAGTAGCATGGACACAAGCGACCACTCCTTCCTTGAAATAATCTTTTCTTGTCTTATATGAATATCAACTACACTCTCCTGGCTTTCTTCTCATGTCTGTGGCTATAACTTCCCACTTTTAAAAACTCTTCTACAGTCGCCCTTTTCCCTTCTAGCTCTCAACTTCCTAGGTGAACTCATTCAATCTCACAATTATGTTTCTAGCTCAGATTTCTCTTCTGATCTTCAGACTTGTAGGTCTAATTGTTGATTTGACATTTCCACTTACTAATCTGATTCCACTCTCTTCCTCAACTCCCATACTCAATCCATCACCAAGTCCTATCATTTCTATTTCAAAAATGCATCTGAGGTTCTCCCGTTCCAACCATTTCCACTGCCCTCACCCTAATCTAAATCACCATCATCTCTCAATTACATCAATTCCAAGAGTCTCCTCACTGGCTTCCCTCTTCTCACTTTTGCTCTCCTCAGTCCATACAACAGACAGAGGGATCTTTAAAAAAATGTAACATCAATCTTCAATAGGTCCCCACTACACTTGGGGAAAAAAACCGAGCACTTTACCACCATCTGTAAGACCCTTCATGACCCGGCTCTAGTCCATCTTCCTAACTTCACCTCAGGGCACCCTATGCCTTTTTCCAATTTCCCCAAGTCATCAAGGCTTTACCTGTTTCAGGTCCTTTGCAAATTCTATTCTGCCCAGAATGCTCTTTCTCCAGTTCCGTCACATTCTTCAGGAACCAGTTTAAACGTAAGCTTCCCTGACCATCCTATCTCAAGTAGATTTCCTCTATTATTGTCTCAATACTTGTTTGTCTCCTTCATAGTACTTTCTATAACTTGTAATTATACATTTATTTGTTTTCAACCCTAATGATCTATATTTGAAGCAGGCAAGAATCAGGTATGTTTTGTTCTGTATACCTCGCACTTAGCAGAGTGTCAACTAGATAGCGTTTCAGATGGATGTAAAATTGATTGCACTTATTTTGTGATTTGTAATTACCGTTTTACTTCTCTCTTCCCGCACCACGCCCCCGCAGGAAATTGAGCTCTTCTCAAACTAGGATTCTTAGTTTTTAATTTTTGAACTATTAAAATCAACTACAGTATCAGCCTCACAGCAGCATGTAATTCATATTTATGAAACTGAACTAAATTCAATCAAAATAATGATGTAAATAAACAACTAGATGAGGCAGGTGAGGAGGAGTATGGTGAAGAAGTGGGAGTTTCCAGGACATGTGGTGGTATACTATTCATTAAGACAGACAATACAGCAGCAACTGCAAGAGCCTTGGGGGAGGGATGATAAAAAGTTTAATTTTAGACCAAGTGAGGGCTCTCAAGAATATAAAAGTGGATTTCCAGTAGATATTTGGAAATAAGCGCCTAGAGTTGAGAGAGAAGGAAGTCCAAATATGTAGATAATAAATTTAAAATCTTCTAAGGTCATAAACCATCCATGATTCCCCAAGGTTATGAATTTCTGATAGAGCTGTATAAATTGAAGTTATGGAGATGGATAATATCAATGAACTGATAGAAAAAAATAAAGGCCTGGAAGCTACTGTTCACATCTCTGTTCGTATATCCTCCCACTTGTAACCTTTCACTGCCTGTTTTACCAGCTGTAAAATGGGAATGACAATTATTAGAGGCTGCTGTAAAGTTTAAATGGGAACATTGTAAATTGTGTGACACAGCATCTGGAACATAGCAGGCCTAGCTCTCGAAGTTCATGGTTTTACTGGCACAAATCTTGAATAAGACAACACTCATTTATTCTACAGTTGTTATCAATGTCCCGGTCTTATCTCAACTAGAATGCAAAGCAGAGGCTTGATGGTCATTTTTTGTATCTTTCCAGGCCCAAGAACAGTACTTTCCATATGGTAAGTGCTCCATAAATATCTGCTGAATGAGGAAACTAAGGCACAGGTCCCAGTCATATCTAGTTTCCTTCTGCTAATGAGTCATACCAACTGTAATGATGAGTACAGTGTAATAAATCTTACAGGGGAGGGAAATGGGAGAGACTTGAAGTAAATGAACATTTAAAAAGCAGTTGTCTCGTCCAGTTCACAAAGGTGATTTTGTAAAAGTACCACAGTGTTAAGCCAGAACACACTTCTTGTTGAATTTCTACTTTTAATTTCAATTAACATGAAGTATTTTAGTGGTACTCATATAGATCTTATATGGCAAAACAAGTAACTAAAAGCAAAGGAAAAAGAGAAACAAGTCATACTGCAACAAAGTCATTCTTTAAGAATACTAAGATTTGTGCATTTCTGCAGTATCTAAGCAGAAAACCATAATTTAGCTTCTGAATATTTTCAACGCTTACTTCTAAATTAATTCTCGGCTACTTGTATTCATGCCCCCCCCTCAATTTAAATATGTGGGCGTTTGCTTACTAGGGGAATTCCAGGTTGTGCTTTCAGCTGTTGAGCTTCCCCCAACCCCCTTTGCAAAAAGTTTCACATATTTCCTCCACTGCTTAGGATCTTTTTATTGGTCCGGCTTTTGCTCCAGGTTGAGCCAGCAGCCAAGGAAATCAGACTCAAGGATGAACCCGAGCCGTCGATCCCTAACAACGCGGCTCCAAGGCGCAGCGGGGGAAAATCACCAGGGCACGGGCGAGGAGTGGGCGAGGAGCTGGCTGCGAAGAAACGCTCCACTGAGCGAGGTTTCAGAAACCCAGGCCCTGCATGGAGTGATTTAAAACGTCGATTAACAGGTCACCGGGGGATCACTTCCACCAAGGTCCCTCGTATGCGGGGCTCGCTGCGGTCCCGCGATGCCTGGACCTTCCGCTCCTCCGACCCGCAGGCTCCTCGTCCGTCTCGGACTCGGACTCCGGGTTTCCGCTCTCCTCGTCCGCGGGGCTGCAGCCCACCCCCCCCCGCCCGCCCGCCCGCCCGCCCGCCGCGGCGCCTGGGCAAGGTTGTGCTACTCACGTCCTTCTTCACTTCAGTGAGGTCCTCCTCGGTGAGGGACGGCGCGGTGGGCTCCATGGCGGAGGCGGCAGATGGCGCTTCTTCCGGGTCGGGGAGCTCGGGCTGCGCCGCCCCGCCCAGGCTGGGGGCTTCGGCCTCCGGATGAGCGGGGAGACGGGGACGTAGAGAAAGCCCAGAGGAAGAGGGCTGCCCCTTCGAAGACAGAGGGGCTCCGGGGGTCAAACCGTGGCGCTTCCGGCTCTGCCCTTTAGGCCGACGACGCTGCAGACCTACGCGTCCCGACGCGGCGCCTGAGCACCGCTCCACCTCCGCGCTAGAGGCTCAGGCGCAGGCACCGCCCCTCGGTGGGGCGGGGCCACCAGCAGAACCCGCCCCGTCTCTGCGGCAGCCAATCGGGGCGAGCCCGCGGGCCCAGACTTTCCCCGCCCCCCGGCCAGAGTCTTTCGGGAGTGGCTCCGCCTACAGCCTCCAGGTCTTTTGCATGTGGCCGCGGGTTGGCGTCTCCGAAAGGAATTATTTCCGTGGGTGGGACCGGTCGCTGCTCCGCCACCGGCGCTCCCCGCCTTCGCAGACTGCTCGCTGGTGCAGTCCGGTCTCGGCTTGTCTGCACCTTTGAGTTCCTCCTCTTTTCCCAGACCCTGCCCTCCAATTTCCTGTTGCTGTGTTTGCGCACACAAGTTTTTAAATTATTTGGTCATGCACGCGCGCGCACACACACACACACCCCCCACACGAATACACAGCCTAACTACAATATTACAGAAACTTTGAAAAAGCACCTACAATCCCACCGCGTTAACACCTAGCTTAGCGTCTGCATACTTTTTGGTCACTGTTTATTGTAAACATACATATTTCCTTGTTTATTCATCTGTGTAATGATATATCTACCTCATAGAGCTGCTGTGAGAATTAAATATGTATATGTAAGGTTCTTAGAGGTACTTGGCACACAGTATGCAATCAATTTATTATTTATTATCTTGTCTTACTCAAACATTTATGGAGTCCTTACGAATATGTTCTAGGCATCTTATCCTGTAAGAGTTCTCCCATTTTGTTGGGGGAGACTGAAGGACAGACAATTATTCCCAGAATAGTATTCTAACAGAGGTGTATGCAAAGCAACATGAGTAAATGTGGGTGAGAAGCTCGAACAGAGCCCTGGCCCAACTGTTGTTTGGACAACATGCAAAATAACCGAGATGGTATTTGAAGCTACAAGGTAGATAAAAATGACAAGAGGACCAAAGACAAACTTGGGAACCCCAGCATTTAAGGGAAGGGAAACCGAGAGAATCAGAAAAGAACAGTGTTGCAAAAGCCACACCAATGAAGTTTTGATCACAACACAGGAATTCTGCTTTTAACACTAACATTGCATCATATATTTTTTTCCACCTTGATATGCCACATTTTTTCTGATTGCTTAATCTTCCATCCTTTTGGTACAACCCAATTTACTTAAGCATTTGTTCTTTCATTTCACAAATAGTTATTGAATGTCAACTATATGCCAGACTCTGTTCTAGGGGAAACAGCTGTGAACAAAACAGATAAAAATCCCTTTCCTTCTGGAGTTTAAATTCTGGTGTCTTTGTGTTTGGGACAGGGCAGATAGACATTTGAAAAATGTAGTGTAAATTATTTGTTATGTTAGAAGATGATAAATGCTAAAAGGAAATATAATTCAGGGAAGTAGAATGAGGCTGTATGAAGTGGTAAAATTTAAAATATGCTGGTTAATGAAGACCTCACTGAAGAGGGGAGATTTGAGTTACTACTTGATGGAAATGAGGGAATGAGCCATGTGGACATAGGGAGAAAGAACATATGAGTAGACAGAAGAGCTAATGAAAAGGATCCATTGTGACTGGGAAGGAGATGAGGTCCTTGTGTGCCACTGTAAAAATTACTCTGACTTTGCTCTGAGTCATATTGGCTTACTCTGAGTCAGATGGGAAGCCACTGGAGGGTTCTGAGCAGAGAGGAGTGACATGATCCGATTTATGATTTGAAAAGGAGTACTTTCACTGTTGCCTTGAGGGGAAGGAGGATGGAAAAGGGGAGACCAGTTAGGGAGCTATGCCATAATCCAGCCCCAAAGGTGGTGGCTCAGACCAGGGTTGGTAGCAGTGAGGATAGTGAGAAAATTTTGAAGAGAAGTGGGGAAATGATTTCATTTCCTTTTAAAAGGATTACTCTGTCTGCTGAGTAGAGAGTAGACTGTAGGTGTAAGGGCGGAAGCAGAGAGCAGCTGGAGACTACCACAGAGATCCAGGCAAAGGTGAGGGTGGCATGATTGTGACAGGGGTGGGAGCAGTGGTGAGCACTCTCCCATAGTTACCTTAAGTTATTCCCAATTTTTCATTGTTATAAAAATTTTTTTCATCTACATATTCCTCATTCTTTTTTCTTTTGAATTATCATTTGTTTTGCATAAATTCCCAGAAGCAGGAATACAGAGCACAAGGAAATGATGATTTTCTGTCTCTTCATGTATATTTCCATGGGTTGTCTCCAAAGTGTTGGTCCATCCGAGTGTGGGAATGAACTGTTTTGCCATAACCATACCAGCTCTGCTGGTGAAGGAGGGGATTCAGAACCCATCAGAGCAAAGTGATTTGAATGATGCCAATTTGACACACCCGTTTTGATCCAGCCATTATGAGGTTGCTGTTCTATTGTTGTTCTTTTTTTTTTTTTTGTGAGGAAGATCAGCCTTGAGCTAACATCTATTGCCAATCCTCCTCCTTTTTTTTCCCCCTTTTTCTCCCCAAAGCCCCAGTAGATAGTTGTATGTCATAGTTGCACATCCTTCTAGTTGCTGTATGTGGGACGCTGCCTCAGCATGGCTGGACACGTGATGTGTCGGTGCGCGCCCCGGATCCTAACCCGGGCTGCCAGTAGCAGAGAACGTGCACTTAATTGATAAGCCACGGGGCTGGCCCCTATTATTGTTCTTTTTTAAACAAAACATTTCAAACACACTAAACTCTAAGGAAAAAATAATATTACAAACAACCTCTGTTCATTACCAAGATTTAACAAATATTGATACTTTGCCACATTTGCTTCTGTTATGGCTTTTGATTACCAAATATTAATGGGAGACATCTCTGATTCTTGAGCCTTCTTTCATGACCCTTGCTATACATCTGACTATTTCCTTGTTGTTGACCATCATTTCATTACTGATACCTCCAGACTTCTTGCATCCTCAACATTCATTCCCTTATTTATTTATTCAACTAAAAAGTTAAATGTCTGCTATGTGTCAGAAGTAGGAGTTATGGAATGAGGATCAGGAATTGGGTGGGACTGGTGAGGAGCTTAGGAATTTTTAAAGCTGAAAGTTTAATATTTCATTTTTAAGGCCATGTCTCAATGTTTCCAAGTCAAACTGTCTGTATCAAAGTAGCGATATCTGAATGCCACATACCTAATCAGAGAGCTAGTTCCTGGTAGGCCTTGCAGTTCCCAATCCTGCTTTCTTTCTAGCGCATCGTACTTCCTTCATAAGCAAACTCATTTCCCCTTCTCTGCTAAATCACAGGGTCAGACTGTAATGAAGGTTGGGCATATTTTCAAGAAAATAGCCCTGCCCATTCTCTACCTTGCAATAATTCTCCCTCCCGGCACCTCCGTCCCCACCTCGACTTCTAGGTGCACCATCTCCCTCCTACAGTGAAATACGAGGCATCTGATAAATATGCTGTGAAGGATACAGTTAAGGTGCTACAAACATAAGGCAGCATATCATAGTGGCTAAGAATGAGGACGTTCGGCATCTGATAGACCTAGGCTGGTGTATTAGTTTCCCACGGCTGCCGTAACAAATTAGCACAAACTGGGTGGCTTAAAACAAGAGAAATTTATTCTCACAGTTCTGGAGGCTGGAAGTCCAAAATTGGCAGGGCCGTGCTCTCTCTGAAGGCTCTAGGGAAGATCTTTCCTTGCCTCTTCCTAGCTTCTGGCGGCTGCCAGCACTCCTCGGCATTCCTTGGCTGGCGCAGCGTAACTCCCATCTCTGCCTCCCTCTCCACCCGGCCTTCTTTTCTGCGTTCCTCCCATGTCTCTGTCTCCAAATTTCCTTCTTCTTATAAGGACACTAATTATTGGGTTTAGGGCCCACTCTAATCCAGTATGACCTCATCTTAACTTGATTACCTCTGTAAAGACACTATTTTCAAATAAGGTCACATTCCAAGGTTCCAGTGGACGTGAATTTTGGGAAGACGCTATTCAACTCGGTACAGTTGGATTCTAGATTTGCCAGTTATTAGCTGTATGACCTGGGAACAATTAATAAGCATTCAGTAAAGATAGCTATTAGAGGAATGCAGAGGGAGGAAAGAGGAAACCATTTCTGACTGATAAGCCGACATGAAAGAGGTATATTTAAACTGGGCTGGGGGATTTTAATAGGTGGCGCTTTAACTGCTGTTTAATGATTTATTTAAAACTTCCTGCCAGATACCAAGCATTGTATTGAGCAATGAATTCTATTCCAAGTAATTGTGAATTGTAAATTTCCTGTAAATAGTTAGAGGAAAAAAGTGGCCAGTTCTGAGACAGACACTCCCGGGTTTTAATGGCAAGACAATATGTGGTGGAATTCAGACATTTCAGCTCACAGACTTTGCGAAGACTCCAGGTGGTGTGGTCCCCAGGAGTGACCACCAGCTTAGGAAGGGAGGACCAGGAGGGTGCAGGGTGGTGAGCGTGGACCTGAGCAAATGCTCTGAGGACATTGGCAAGTGCACCCTAAGAGTAGGACATTGTTGGGGCTGATGGGGGAACCTGAGAGAAGGGACCATTCCCTCTGCCTTCCCCCTAGAAGACTGTTGGCTTGGAGAGTGAGGACAGGAATTTGGTATTAAAAGCTTGGATGTTTATGGGACAAGGTACCTCAAATATAGTTGAGGGGAGGCGATATCCCATATACCAGCAGGAGAATCTTGAGGAAGCAGCTAGATCTTCCAGTTGTACTACTGTCTGGGAAGAAATCATCACTAGCAATTTATTTCATACTCACTCTGATCCAAGCACCTTATGTCTACTGTTGCAATTTAATCCCTATATCAGTTCTTCCAGGTAGGCTTTATCATCCTCACTTTACAGATGAGAAATCTGAGGCTTAGAAAATATGATTTGCCCAAGGTCACTCCTCTACCAAGTACAGAATCAAGATTTCAACTCAGCTCTGTCTGATAACAAGGCCGGTGTTCTCAGTTACTAGCTGTAGACTGAGCTAACTGCTTCAGGACGTAGTGATTCAGAGGAGCTGGGTTACTCTGACACTCCTT